CAAGTTTTCGCGGTTTGAAGTTTACAAAACGTAACGTCAAAAATGGAACACTTGGTATAATATTACTGAATTTCTTTAAAACTTTGCAGCGTAGCTCACCTTATGATCTTTCTGTGTGCCAAGAATAAAATGAACATGTTTTACATGAAGAAAGTTATAAAGGTTATTGTAAACCATTAAACCTGTCAAATTTTTTAAAATGTCAAATATCTATGAAATTGCTGGGTTTAGGTATAGGGTATCCATATTTTTGACTCACAATTTTATGCTCTTTTTTGAAAACTCTAAAATTTATAGTGTTCCATTTATAATAAGCAAGTTGGTATCAACTTCCGGTATAACGGGAAGTACCAGATGCTTGTAATTATTTTAGTTGGATTGACCACACTGCCTTTAGTAGCTCCCTAAATTTTCAAAATTTTCTGGTGCGTACTTTTCCCTATATTGATCGATGTTTATATGCACTACATGTGTAACTATAGTCGATGGCCAGAATTATTTGAATTAAAGGACACTAAAGCCAAGGCCATTATTAAGTGCCTCAAGGAGACATTTACAAGATATGGAATACCTAATACTTTAGGTCAGATAATGCTAGACAATTTGATAATATGGAATTCAAGTCCTTTGCAAGAGATTATAAATTTAAGTGGACTTTAAGTAGTCTATTGTATGCACAATCAAACGACCAAGCAGAAAGTGCCGTAAAACTGTTAAAAAGAATTAAAAAAAGCGAGGATGCCTATTTAGGATTGCTAGCATATAGAAATACACCACTTGCATATAGAGTCTCTCCTGCACAGCTAATGATGGGAAAAATCCTGCGAGAAAATATACCTATCCAAGAAATGAATCTGAGAACACGCCTACCTAAGCATGATGAAGTAAAAGAAAATATGTTAAAGGGAAAAGAAAACCAGAAACGATATTATGATCGGAGACATAGGGTAAAAGATTTGGAAGAATTACCTGAGGGTGCCAGAGGATGGATAATTAACGAAAGAATGGAAAGAAAAGTGATTAGAAAAAGGAATATATGAAGTAGAAACAGAAACAGGTATTATACGTAGAAACCGCCAGAATTTACAACTTCTGCCTAATCTACCAGAAGAAGAAACATAAAGAAGGGTAGCTGGAAGATCAGAAGAAAACATCATGGGGAAAGAAATGACAAGATCTGTGACATTAAGGCCAAATAAAGAAAAGGAAGCACCAGATGGTAGAAACTATGAAACACAGGATATACAGATGAGAGAGAGAGAGAATTATGTTTTGCAATAATTAACTTACTTTACAAGAATTACAAATTTTTTATATTTAAAAAAAAAGTTTGTTTTTAATATTTAGAAAGAATGGGAGATGTGGAATAATCTTAATGATTTAAATATAGAGTCTTAAGTGTGGTAAGGTTGGCACCAATAACGAAGAGATGGCAAAACGTAAATTTGTGTTTATTAACAATCACCAGTTGTCTAAATAATAAAATAACATAAAACAATTGATACCGTCATAATTCATAACAAATTATCTGTTGTTGTTTCTACGATATCAAGAAAATACCGTTCTAAAAAATAAATTTCAACACCCTGTATCTCAAAAACAAAACCTTAGCAGACCTATGATTCTAAGAAATTTCCCAGTATACATATATAGCGTGTGCGATTGAGGACCGCAACTCCTTATTTTTGAAAGCGTTGACCGATTTATTTTTATTTTTTTTATTTGGGACATATCACAAAGATATGAGCTTAAACTTTGTATACAGGTATTTGAGACATGGCCGTTGTTATAAAACTTTTTAAATACATGATTTCCTAAAAATCCAGATTTAGCTTAAAAATGAACATTCTTGGAATTTCCATTGACCCGTCCCACTTTGAAACTCGACAGATGTCTATTCGACTTGCAAAAAAATGTTTCAGACAAAACTTCTAAGTTCTTAAAAAGTTTTATGCATGACATTTTTACCTAGAAGTTACTAAAACAGTATTGGCAAAAAACCAGTTTGGGGCGCCGCGCCTTTTAAAGGTAAAAAATTCAGAACTGGAAATTTCTACTTTAAAAGTAGAAATTTCTAATTTTAAAAGTAGAAATTTATATTTTAAAAGTAGAAATTTCTACTTTCAAAAGTAAAAAATTCTAGTTTTAAAGTAGAAATTTGTAGTTTTAAAGTAGAAATTTATAGTTTTAAAGTAGAAATTTCTAGTCTTTTTTTTTGCTGTGGCCCTCAGAGCCATCATAGAGACAAATATATTGTTGCATCATTTCGTACAGGTTTACTTTCTTTTTTCCATGATTATTAATTGCAGTTGCACATAAACCAAAGCACTCAGCATAGCAATAAACAAATAACAAATACACGAGGGTTATTATTCTAGAATAAATAAATATGGCCGATAGCAGCGTCAACTCCCGATATTTGGCGATTGCGCACAATGCTACTGACTATAAAAAGATTGGGAAAGCAATAGATAGTATTGTTGAGACAATTTGAAAAATTTCGTATAATGTTGGGTGAAAAACGTTCAGATAAATCAAGACAGAAATTTTATAATACCAAGTCAGTTCGTAAATGTAATGCAGGTACGTTACAGGTTTGACGACGTCCATACTGGCAATTACGTTATTGAATATGTTGAATAAATACATGCCGATACGTTTAATCAGCCTGAATTTCCAGAAGAGACCCGGACAAGAATCGCATCAAATGGAAAATTTATATTTTCATATTTATTATTAAATTTGTTAGCGACCGGAGTACATACACATTATGTTCAGCGTTGCCCAGATACGTTTGCAAATTTACTGTCAGTGGCAATTTCCTTAGTAAATAAGACAACTGTCGCAATATCGACAGTGATGCATCCACTATTACGTATAATCTCCTCCAAATGAATCAGCAATAAACTACACAAAGTGGTAAGAATTTTTATAATTTCATACTACCCTGCCATGCCGATCCTGATTTTTACGTCAATGTCATCGGAGATACGAGCTCTATTTAGCGATGACAGTGAAATATTTAAATGTAATAATTTTTATTACCAGTAGCTGACATAATTCGTGATAATTTATATACGTCTTTTAATTAAAAAAAAAATGTAAAAAGTGAATATGAGTGATAGTGAAAATGATGAAGTTTATTCACCACTGGACGTTTTGGAAGCGACCAAAATAAACTCAATGAAATTATTGCCTACTAAATCAAAGAAGAGGTATGAAGCAGTGTATAAGGGGTTTATGGATTGGCGAAGCATCCAAAAAATCAGTTTATTCTCTGAAAATTTTCTTATGGCATACTTTGGTGAATTATCTGAAAAATATAAATCGCCATCTATATGGTTGCAATGTTCAATGTTGAGAAGCACACTGAACATAAATAATAGCATCAACATAGAAAATTACTTCAAAATTGCGCGCATTGTTAAAACGCAAAGGTGAAGGATATTAAGCGAAAGGGTCCAAAACATTCATTCCAGATGACATTAATAAATTCATTAACGAAGCGCCTGACAATATATATCTCATAACAAAGGTAAACAATTCATATATTATAAAGTTGTGCATATCGTTATTTTTTTTCTTAAGAATGAATTAATTATGGGATAATGGGTACTTGTCGTGCAAATGAACTGCATGTCATGAATATTGAAAATATTCAAAACCTTGGATCGGCTATATTAATAACTCTTGCTAATACTGGAACAAAAATTGATCGTAAATTTACCATAACCGGATATTTTTACCTAATTTGTAAAAAGTATGCTGCTCTCCGTCTTACATCTACTTAATTTTTTTTAATTATCAAATTGGCAAATGTAATCCACAAAAAATTGTTGTCAATAAACTTGGAGTAATGGGGAAACAATAGCTACATTTCTAAAGCTACCAAATCCGAAAATGTATACGGGACACAGCTTTTAGAAATCATCTGTTACCATACTTATTAACGCAAGTGAGGATAGACGTAATACCTGTTACTGCATCTGCCAATAAAGTTGCCGAAGACCTTCGTAGACGATTCTGTTGGTTTCAAGACTGTAAATATATTAACAATATCCTGTACAGGCGCTGCTCCTGTAGAAATGAAAATTTTGGCGTCCAGATTTTTGAGCGGTATGTATCTCTTGTAAGTTATGTATCATTTTACGCAAAAATATTAGAAAAAAACATTGAGGCAAAACAAATTCAATTATGTTGAGAGATATATTAAGCAGAATAAGAAATCATGGCAAACACTACCTTAACTTATTGATTTTTTATTATTGTAGGTTTCCCAAATAAAGGCAGTCCTAGGTCTTTTAGCTTTTATAGGCTTATTATTGAGCTAGAAAGATAACTTAAAAAACTGTATGCAAATCTACATAAAATATTTCATATGGTATTTGGGCATGGCAATTGTGAGGCTGGACGGATGTGTAATCGAAGAATGATAAAACACTTAAAATTAGCAAAGCTAACTACTGTTTAATAAACTTATTTAGCTTTATGTTCTAACTTTTTTTAAACTTAAAATAATTAATATTAACACCACTTAAAATTATAAGCACCAGTTTCTAAGATCTGTACGGGCAGGGGAAAACCTCATTAAAAACACTTTCTAAATAACACCTAGGTATCGTTAACATGTCTCTCCGTATGTTTAACTTATTCAAGATGACATTAATTATTTTTTTGAGATGATTGCCAGAATCGAGATCGGTTAATAACTTTTGGCTTGTTTATGTTTTTTTCTGGTTTCCGTATGGGGGCTACCACTGCGTTTTTCCACTGCTGTGGCCAGTGCTGCAAGCGTGAGATTTCGGTAAAAATGTATACAAGCAGTATCGTTTCCCCTCTGCAGGTTTTGAGAAACCTGTAATCAATATCATTATATCTTGATAAGCTATGCGAATTCTGAGGGCTTGGTCATGGTGTCAGAAATTGCTGTTGCGTTAATGGATTGGAATTTGGGTATCAGTTATCATGATGAATTTGATTTGCATTTGGATCGTTAATGTGGCTTCGTGGTCGAGTGGTAAGGACACTACCTCTGACTGTGTAGTCCCGGGTTTGATCCCCGGTCGAGGAGCTAGATTTTTTCTAAACTACAAATTAATCCCAGCATATTCGGACATTGAGTGTGTGTCCATTGCCTCTAAATGTGTAGCACTTCTCCACACAAGGTAACTTCAGGGATACAGGGGTTGTATTAACTGTGATATTTAATAACTAGTGTTATTTTGCAATTATAACCCTGTTTTGATATATATCAAATGAGAAATAACTCCCTAGGGCGTTGTGAATAGCCACAACGCCCTAGGGCGTATTGAATATCCACAACGCCCTAGGGCGTTATGAATATCCACAACTCCCTGAGGTATTATAAATTTATAACGCATTAACATTTTCACTACAACACGACGCAAAACAAATAAATGGTGATGGTGTTATTAATAAACAAATTATGTTGCATATTTACGGCGTTTACAAACAATTTCAATTATTACTCTATTTTAAATGAAATTGTCTTGAACATAATACATGTCAAATGAATCAATCGTAAGTGTCAAAGAAATTTCGAATTAAATAACAAACCAGTAGGCCATTAAATGTTGAAAACACCACAGTTATTATATGATAATGACACCCCACGAATTTCTTAATATAATCTGGATTTCTGATTCAATACTAATAAAATGTCCCCTACATGTAAGCTGCTATACTGTGGACAATTTATATTGGCTACATATTAACCAATAATAGAAGGTTATGAGACCGCGCATATTTAAATCTTGTTTACCTCACAACTTAGTCTATTTCCATGATAATTTTTTAATGTTTTTATTTTCCAATTATTTAACAGTATTTTTGATCGTGTTTATTTTTTTCCAATTATATTGTTATTATAGTGAGAATAATATAATTATATTATCCTTCTGAGAATATTTTGTAGTAATTTATTTTTTGTACATTGACGTGTTTACTGGTATTGACATCTGTCACCAGTTTTGTCTTAAATTTTAAAAAATGAACCAAAAACGATTCAGTTCATCGTCAGTGGAAAAAATTATCATACAAACTAAAGAAAATGCTATGGTAAGTAATAATTCAATACTGAAACATTTCCCAATCATTTTGTGACGAAAGGGGTTACAAACTAAAAGAAAATATACCAGTCACGGACGTAACATTTACAATAATTGTGTTTTCATGTTCAAAACTTTAGCAAAGTTTAATTTTGATGCACTATAAATTTACTTTATTTAGTTTAAATTGAGGCAATTGTTGTAGGAAACAAGTAAAAAAGATATTTTGTCTTTCTTTTACATTTTTTAGGACTTACTACCACATGAATAATTCTTCGTTATCTAAAAAATATAGTTAGTTGTCCAGTATGTTAGTGGAAAAATAAACCTCAACGCTTGTAACTTTACGTCAAAAGGTTAGTCAGAGGGTATTTTTTTGACAACTAAGATTAGACATAAAAATAATAATATAGTTCCCTAGCGTGTCGAAAAACTAATCTGTTTCCTTTTTCAAAATTATTTATTTATGTAAGGTTGGGTGAGCATAAAAGTTATATTAGAAAAGATGAAATTGAAAAATCGAAAATTTGCGAACATGCCTGGGAGAATGGACATAGAATAACTGAGATTTGTCAAAAATTTTAATGAAAGACGCGGACAGCAAAAGAAGAAAAATAAGAATTCGGCAATAATATTATTGAATGAAGAAAAATGTTTATCTCATTGCTTTGTAGATTTTGGTACAACGTGGTTACCGATGTATAATTTTTAATTACCAACAGTTCTATGTAAGTATCTATGGATATTACATAAACAAATAAAATATATGTCAAGTTTCACGCTTGACATATTCTAAAAAAAGATAAATAACTTTGAAAAAATTCAGGGAGCAAAGTAGTACTTTTCCTCCCGAGGGAGGAAAATACTTTGTTTCCCTAGGGAGGAAAATACTTTGGCTCCCTCTGGAAGGAAACAAGTAAAAACTTCAAATAGCTGTAATAGTAGTGTATAGACTTCTTTTTATTGATACACAAACTTCCTGAAAATGAATGCTTTTCTTTGAAACAGATTTTTTATTACTTATTTTTATTTATAAAAATTGAAAACAGTTTAAATCGAGGTTTAAATTAACATCAGTGACTAAATATTGTTAAAATTTATGGTACAATTAGTTAAATTACTAATGGAGATTGCCCCTGAAGAAATATTGGCTCTGCTGGTGGAGATCAGTTCCTGTTTGTTGTTTTCCAAAGTCTTGGTCGCTGATGTACTTGTAGAAACAAAATTTTCAAAAACAAGACAACGTTTTTTGGTACTTGAAGTAGTATTTTCTCCCGTAATTATTTGGCTGGCTACCTCACATTTTTTAGAAATACAATCATCTAAGTACCCTTCTGCTACTGCGTTTGTTGGCCATCCCCCATGTCTTTTAGAGTGAGAATGTTACTTCCATCATTGACTAATAACGTAGCTGAAGTACGGCGGAAACTGTGTCCAGTATAGCCTTTCGAATCATCCAAATTTAAAAATATTGCTATTCTGTATGAAATTTTGGCAATTGTGTTTTTGCCAATTACCTGGTTTGTACATTTCCCTTTAGCATAAGTTACAAAAAAATCTAGAATGACATGTTTTAGGGGACCTACAGTCCAGATATTTTCTATATATATCCAACCCAGATACTCCGTTTAAAATCTCATTCATTATTGTAAATGTCCTTTGATATTAGTTTTTGAGTCAGGTATTTGCACCACCAAAATATCGCCTTTATCACTGATATCCTCAAGTACCATTTTAACTAATTCATCGCTACGGCATGCCCCAGCAATTCCAAATATAAGCACAACCTGAAAAAGGAAAATGCACTTATGATAACTGCCTAAAATGTCACTTAATTGTCGTATATATACTTTCTAATAAAAAATGCTGCGTTACGTTTTTATTTATTATTCAACAATATCGATCAATCTTACCTTCATATGTATGTAAGTTTCATCTGGAGCTTCTGCAATAAACTTGTTGATATCCTTCCTTGAAAAAGTATTGGCTTTCTTGGCTTTATATCCAGCAGATTTCCTTTTAAAAAAGCTACTAATTTAGGAAACTTAATGTCGATATTGTCTTTAATTTGGAGTGTAGATCGCAACATGCTGTATTTGCTCCATAATGTTGAAGGCTTCAAATCGGCGCATTTTTTTGAAAAGTAAAATAGGACCACTTCTTCACATATTTTTTCTTATTTGCCTAGTCTCCATCCAACAATTAAATAGCTGGTACTCTTTTTCATATTTTTCACGAGACTTTAACGGTGATAGATTTAACGAAACCACGTTTGCTTCTTCCAGAATATCTTGAGGAACTTCATCTTCACATTCGGAATACATTATTATAAACTTTTTGGAAGTTTGTTTATTTTGAAAACAAGAAGCAACCTTAGCAACGTTCCATGTACTTTGATTTTAACAATATTTACTTATCTAAATATCTATTATGACATTTTGACATATTTGGTTTTTTGATTGTCATGCATAAAAAAATATAATAAAATATATGTAAAACCAATGTAAAACACTGTAAATGGTCGTAGAAAAAATCATATGTATTACACAGGAGCAAAGTGCCATTTCCTCCCTTAGATATTGATGCCCGACGCGAAGCGGGAGGAAATTATGCACATTTCTCCCTTGTCATACAAATAGCTATTATGTGGTAGAAGTCCAAAAAAAAAAGAAAGAAAAACTTAGAGAATGCCACAAATAACGTTCAGACAATATTTATATTTTGTATTTAAACATAAAAAAATAATCTTTCGAATACCATTCGAGAGTGAGAATAAATTAGAAAATAATTCTCCGTTTCTTTTCTCAAACTTGCTGTCATCCAGCAATAGACAATTGAGCCCTACGGGCTCTCGTGTCTATTGCTAAGCAACAGGTTCTCGAAAAATTCAAATTATTTTCAATTTATTCTTACTCTTTTGTGATATTTCTACTAATTATTGGCAACTAGCAGATAAGTTGAGTTATTATCACAGACGTGTATTACAAATTAGTTAAACACTATTTGAAGGAAAAAATATTTCACATTTGAGAAAAGAAATACAACTCGATTTAAAAATGATTTATTATAAAAAAAATACAAAACTATCCAGCTTTTAAAGAAAACCTATTAGTGTTTGAATACTACCAGACTTACGAATGAACGTTACACCTTTTCTTTTTTTTTTCTAGTGGAACTTTCGCAACCAGGAACCAAACAATGCATTTTTAATTAAGCGCACAGAGAAGTTCTACACTAAACAATAACCACAGAATGCCACTCAAAAACTAATAAATACAGAACAAATCTAATAAAACTAACAAATTAGGCAAAAAGTACTATAATTAATAAATCCAGTCACAGCACATCACATAAACAAATCGTCCAAAGATGACAACTGACAAATCGAAACCCAGTGTGATCAACGCAAGATCACTAACTTTTACCAATAATAAATTGATATATAACTAGATGGCCCATAGTATGGTGGTCCCCTATACGGGGACATTTTTTCAAGGTCGAGTCATATCAAATAGAGATCCAGATTATATTGAGAAATTCGTGTGACGCCCTCGGTCGACGTACTGCTGACCTCGATGCATTATCACCCTTATAACATCCTTGATACCTTAATAACTAAAAAAAAGTAATAATAATATTGTCTATACTCTTAAGTTGGCTTATTGCCTGTCTGTTAGGTATACTTAGCCATTTTGTCCCAACAGAACAAGCATGGATTCTGTTCTATTTTCTAGAGCATTTGTCATCCTCCACAATGAGTGGCTGTACGAGTGACATACAAGAAACGTCAGAATGGGTGCATCAGACAACAAAAAGTTCAGTTCTAATAACCTTAGAAATTTTACACTTATTGAAGTTACACGCTTTTTCTTAAAAAGATGTCTCCTATCTATTGCGTCTATAACCTAATGGGGGAAAAAAGATCGGTTTGTTGGTCATTTTTTTTTGTCTCTCCCAGACAGATCATTAATAATAAAAAGTATTAATTATAAACCTTATTTTGTAG